ACAATTCCAGTGACTTTATAATATAAAGCATAATTGTATTACCTTGCATATATCAGAAACCTTGCGTAATGATAACATTCACTCATTTGATTTTGAAAAAATATTTGTAAATTACAGAATTACGATCGGTGGTTCCCATTCAACAATATAGACATGTCAGGAGCGTCACTCTATATTTTTGTTCTATCGCTTCTTGTGCATTATTTATGCGCTGGACCAGCGAAGGTAAGAGCTTGAGGACAAAGCAGAACAACTGTTTCGCCAAGAACTTTAATAGTTCTTGTTAAGTGAACTTTCATAATCCTTCAGAAGGAAATAAGATTAATTAGTGAGTGTCTAAAAAATAGTAGCTAAGAACGAAAACAAAATTGACATTGCCACTTTCTGACTGAAATGAAAATGCATTGCAGCTGATGGATTCAGCGTTGTTGAGTAATGCCACAACATCACTGCAATACAATCAGACGACTACAACGACAATTGAGTCGTTGCAGAAAAGATATGCCAATGACAAGGTTTTACTCCAAAATGAGTTTGCACAATAAGGATATTCATTATTGAGCATATCATATGATTGTTTGAAGCAGTACATTGTTTAATTTCTATTTACGAACAAATTTACTATAATTTATCGACAGAATACTCAATCGACTGGCAACGATGACCGACAACAGTTATCAACTATCGAGCACATTGAGGGATACGACACTGGTGAAGGAACTGCGCCGATTCAATATCTTCAAAGAAGACAAATCAGGGAGAAAAAACACCGGTGTACAACTTGCGAAAGATGCTTCTGTAGCGCACTCTTTCTGAAGATTCATCACAGAATTCACATAGGTGAAAAGCCCTTCGGTTGTAGTGAATGCGGAAAATATTTCAGTCAAGCTAACAATTTAAAAAGACATCAGAAAACCCACACGGGTGAAAAGCTTTTCTTGTGCGATATCTGCGGAAAATACTTCAGTCGACTCAGTGATTTGAGAAGACATCAGAAAACTCACACGGGTGAAAAGCCTTTCTTGTGCGATAGCTGCGGAAAATACTTCAGTCAAGCCTGCAATCTAAAAAC